GGTTTTCGAAGACTTGTCAAATGAATGTGGTAGTAGAATTTGGAACTTCTGGTGTTGAATTGATCTGGTAAACAGTTTTTTCTCCTTAGAATGAGAAAACTTCCCCCATCAAGAGATGCAGGTGAGCGTGTTTTGAATAGATACATTTTATGCCAGTGATTCCCAATTCTACCTAATAAAAATGCCAATTTTCATGACTAGTTCTATAATATTATCGTTCATGCAATTCACATCACTTACAGAGAAATACACACAAAATTGATGAAAAATTACAAAATGTGGCTAGTGGCTCCGCGAATTGTTGATAACTTTAGTAAAAAAAATCTGTTCAAAATCTGTTTTTTCGTTAATCAGCTGTCGCCCCTATACGATCGACAACTCTCAGAAGTTGAGAAACTTGTGCGAGCTAAGGACTAACGAGGTCTTACCTTTTAACGTGTGAATCCTAACACGGTAGTAAGGTACATTATTACAGTTTATGTACAGTATATAGTTAGCTAGCAATATGTATTTTTCTACAGAACAATAATTTTTGAATTCTGTATTTTTTTGACTCTATTGATTAGGCCGTTGTTGAATGGATCTTGAAGTATACCAAATGCTTCGTGTATTACTGCGGCAGACATCATCAATGGTATGTTTGTTTACGAAAGTTATGTTTCGAAGTCTCAGCAACGAAAAGCAAGTCTTTCGTTGCTGTTTTTTTCGACTTTGTTTTCTTCATACATTTATTTTGTTGTTATGAATTCAGTTGAAGATTATATTATTAGTTATTACTACTATTTTGGTTACAATGAAGTACTTTCACATTATATCTCGTTGGATTTTGTCAATTTGCACAAATATATTTTGGTAACAGTGATTCACTGTATATTCGTATTACACACTCACAGTACTTGCATGCAAGACCTCTCCGAGAATCAATACGGGCTACTGTGCTACTCCAGCATCGGTATTTCTGGGTAACCGTGCATATCCACTATTGAAATCACTCAATCGTTCTCCGATTACCGTTGATAAAAATCAGTTCACACTCTCTCAAGTCATTTCCATCAGCATCAAATACACTTTGCTGGTATATCCGTCATCTTGAGAGGATAATTATAGACCGTGTCCTTCAATCTTGCTGTATATGTCCGGGATTTCTATTTGTACATTATTTTCTGATGCTGATGTTTCGATTACTTAACATAAATTCTTGGATAATGCCGTAGATTCATTCGTTTCTTTATTTTGCGAGTGTTGACATTCAACCATCAAGGAAGACATTCAGTTATTCAAAATAAATTGCTCTCATGCGTGATATGAATGTATATGACTGAGCGTTATTTGGTTTCAGTTACAAATTAATGATAGACTACGGAAACATTCATAGAATAAGAAAAACATATTTTGCTATTTATTTTTGTGAAAACATAAATATACCAAGTATATTTCCATTTGGGTCGTGGGAATGAAATAAACTTTTGATTTTAGAACCTATATAACTATAACTGGTTGAAATAATTGCATAGAGAAATGTTAAGTTAATGTGATTGAGTTCTTATAGTGCACAGAGAATCTCTTCTTTTTCTGCAGGGGAAAAGGTATGACAATTAAGGTTATGATGAAAAGAGATCCTCCTTGAATTTGAAATCGACCTTGTTTTGCATTTTTTTTTCTCAACAAATGTGTCTTGAAGTAATTTGATCTGATGTGTTGTTTTTGGATTCGCACACTATTATATGTTATGTTCTAAATGAAGAAGCATATAATTCCTTACAAGATTATAATGATCAAAAAGAAAAGAGAAAACATAAATAGAAAAAAATCAATCAACTTAAAATAGCATATGAAAAATAGTAAGATTGATTGAAATATTACTATACTAAATCATTAACAATTAAGTAATTTGAATTTTCAGTTGATTCCATTTTTCTTATTTCCAGATCCACGTTCAGTCACGTTTTTCTTTACGGTGAATAATTTCTTGATTTCTACTAGAAACACATAGCAAACATGACTGAATAGTTTTTGTTTTATGTCTGATGTTTTCATAACCAAAAGTGGAAGTCAAAAAGTATTTCTGATAGAAATATTTTGTATTTCCAAAATACAAATCATGAAATTGTCAAAGAACAACAAAAATTACTTGGCGCTCCGGGGTGACTTCATTGATTCCAGTGGCGCTATTGCTTTTTCAGCTGCAGGAGAAATCGAAAAAACCTGCTGAAATGGATGTTTGCAAGAAATTGTTTCTATTTCTTTCAGATATTCAAACCAGAAAAAAAATTATACTATGAAGGAACTGCTCTACATAATAAACATCTAACAAAAATTGAATGTAAAAGCTCTTTCTTTTCATAGGTATCAAAACACTTCGAAATAATGAAAGACTATTGATGGTAAATTATATTCAGATATAATTCATCATTGAACAAACAGACTTTCTTCGAATATTTGGCGTTGTTGGAAACAAATTTGTTCTATCTCTTTGTTTGGTAGGGAAATCATCCATACGACTCTTGTAATGAAAATAATTATTTTTTTATTTTGGAAAAATTACTTTCAGTATCTAATCAAAGAGGGATTTTTTTATAACCTGTGTTCTGATTAGATATTGTTCACTGAATTTCATATTGAAATACAGTTCAGAAGAATATTGAAATTCAAACAATTTTTCAAATTATTGTTGGCCTCCACTATTTTTGAATGAACTTTTGCATTCGCCGCAATAGTGTTCATGTGGTCTATTATAGGACTAGACAATTTGATGTGTATATTTTTGAGAAATATAGATGTTCTTTAAGGGTCCACTTATTGAATTTTGAAATCACGGAGAAAATATAATCAAATCTAATATATAAATTGAAGAAGCAAAATCGTGCTAATAGTTATGCTATTTTCAACTCAAGAACGGCCAAACCCATTTTCGATTTGTTTGCTTGGAGAAGCAGAATAACTATTAAAACATTTGAAAAAATCAGGAAAAAAATGCTAACTTGGGTATGAAACAAAGTCGCAAAATCATTCACGATACACCATTCATTCACAAGAAAGGTTGAATTAATTCTCCAATTTTGATATTTGAGATTATGCGCATATGAGTAATTCTTATGTTATAATAGAAGCGAAGTCAGCAATAATAATCCAGAGTTTTATTTACAATACCGCCATCGAGAAGGTAGATTCTTTCTCAATGAAACTATAAAGGAGTTGGACTGCGGAATATTGCGAATCAATCCACTACAGAACAAGAAGAAATCTAACGAGAGGGGCACCGTATTTAGTGTTGCCAGCTCCACTGTTTTCATGTCGGATCGTCTATTAGGAAATATAATTTCCACTTGCTTTCTGCTGTTCATCTGACACAAAAACTGCAGCAGTTTTCTCTTTGCTGCAATTAATGTTTAGTGTACTAATTTTTGTTGTAATGATCAAAAATTATAATTGCTGCGCACATGCCTTTACGAGCTGGACTGTGTCAAATATATTTTCAGGGATTTTTTGGCCGTGGTCTGCAGGTTTTTATGCCTCAGTAGTAGACGTTTCGTCTACTAGTGAGGTGGACATTTTTAAAGGCGAATTTGTCCGGTTTCAGATTATTATAGTTATTATAGTGTATCATCATTAGAGACAAAGAGGCAATGAACATTGATAAAATCTTGCTACTTGTCCCCAATTGTACACAAACAAGGTCAGGTAAATCAATTAGCACTACTTGAGCACTTCCACGGTTACCTCAATGACCTTGATGATATATACCGCAGTGTTAGACAAAACGTCAGTCATAAAAACCTAGAGTCCTCATATTTTGGGCACTATCAGAGAGAAATTTGACAAAATTTCGCTGATTTTTGCTGATACCACAAAAGGTAACATGGATGGCTGTTGGTAAATCTCAGTTTCTGATTTGGATACTATCAATCTCAACAGTAGGTATTTCAAATGAGGAAGTTAGGAATAGTGTTGCAGGATCTCGGAGATAGATATTCATAATTTTTCAGTGAAAAGTTTACTATCGTTTACTAGAAGTTGTATCTTTCTTTACACCTGTATGAAGTTCTCCCATTATATTGTGTTCAGATTGAGGAGGATTAAAATCTGAAGGACACAAAACGCTATTTGCTCCATAGATATATTTTCCAATATTCATATGTAATATGTGGGTGAGCAGAATTATCATCTGTCCATAAATAAAACGATCTCTCACCATCATGCAACATTTCTCGCGTGACGATTCTATTCACCCTTTCATAAAAAAAGAGTATTGCACCGTCGGAGGTGTAAAAATCTAGCGGTACATTGAAAAATCCAGAGAGCCTACAACACGAGAGAATTTTTCCGAAACCGAAACAAGACGGCGAAACATGCTTTAATGGGTGTTTGGAATTGCGTGTGAACTGTGGCATTATTGAAAAGGCCTTGAGACAACACGCATCCACGGATAGATTACGTTTTACACGGCTTCGGATGTTTTATGGGGTGATTCGCCATTTGATACTTTAAGTACCTCGTCGGTGATGCCCATGACGAAGGAAATGAGATATATGCCGAGATATAGACTCCGTCGATAAAAGGGTTTTGCCGGCAGCAGACGAAGCATCGGTTTATGCATCTTCGTTGATGGTGAATGATAAATAATTTTCGTTACCATCATGCATACTTCATTATCAGGTGTGGAGGAAAAAACTAAAAAATACTCAATAGTCACTATAGTATACGCGGTCTGTTCAAAAAATAAGGTGAGTGTTCGTACAACCGATTAGTGATTTTTTAATTTTTTACATTGGTACCCTCGTCTTGAACATTTTCATACTTTTAGATGTCTTGCATGCTTAATTTGTTGGTGAAAGGCATGAAAATTGGAAGTGTTTCACGCGTTCGGTAATTTTATGCTATCGAAAAATAGATCAAAGAATGTGTGAAAAATAGAATCAAATGCTCAAAAGCATTCGAAATATTGACAGTGGCATACGGTGATAGTACTCTGAGTCAGAAAAATGTCTAACAAGTGATACATGCTTTTCGCAGAAAGTCGAGAAGATGTGAATGACGACGCAGGATCTGGACGTTCCTGCAGATCAATAACCGATGGAACTGTTGGGAAGGTGAAGAAAATTGTTATGGAGAATCGTCAAATCACTGTTAGAGAAGTTCTTGAGGATATCGGCGTATCGGATGGATCATCATGCAATTTTCCGGTAATTTTGGGCAGCGAATTTCGTTTCAAATCTACTGACTTTCGACCACAAAACCGTTGCATGAGCATCGCTCAGGAATTATTGAATGACGTCAACGGGGATCCCGATTTGCTCGATAGAGTCATAACTGGTGACGAATTATGGGTGTATGGTTACGACATCGAAACCAAATTCCAATTGTTCCAATGGAAGACCCCAGCAGAGCCACGACCAAAAAAAGTACGCCAAGTTCGATCAAATGTCAAGGTTTTGCTTACTGTTACCGTAGCGTTGTCCATAACGAGTTCTTGTAACATGATCGTACGGCCAATAAGGAGTATTATCTTGAAGTTATTTTCCGCTTGCGGTATTATGGAAAAACAATTCTTGACTTGACCTGGTCACTTGTCGTTGCTAGTTCGTAATTTTTTGGCCAAAAACAATACCGTAATCATGTTTCGGCCACCGTATTCGCCAGATTTGCCCTATTGCGACTCTTTTATGTTCTCAAGATTGAAGGGACTCATGAGAGGATGGCGTTTTAGGATGATTGAGGAAATAGAAACCGAATCAACGAGAGCTCAAGGATATATCTACCAAAAAGTGCATATCAGAACTGATGCTCAGAGGATTGAAAAAAACGCTGGCATAAGAATATTATATCCGAGGGAGACCACTTTGTAGTGATCAAAATAAAAATTGATGAACAAATATATATTTCTTGGGAAAAAAATTTATTTCACATTATTTTTTGAACAGATCTGGTATAGGATGTGGCAAAGAAAATCTAAAAAGTTTGATTTTCTCAAAGTTATCACCAAAACAACGTTGGTGGCACCAAAATCTTTCAACACTTTCAATTCACTTGCTCAGCATGACAGCATTTTCTTTCTATTAACATCCAAAAAATGGATGTGGGATGGTCTAACGTCTAACGAATAGAAAACGAAGCAGGTGAAGTCTACGTACACTGTGACAGGACTATACAGGATGGGAACATGACGGGACGTGGTCTTTAAGCGGAGACAGCATGGCATACCCGCCAAGGCCCCAATTCAATGATGCTAGGCTGAACTATACCACTGTCCTAAAATGGACAAACCTGAAGGTGAAGGTGAAAGTGAAGATCATCACATTTACTCTCGAGTGGAGTATTCCTGAGTTATGAAGATTGCAATCAATAAAACATTATCCAAAAGTGGTTGTGAACTATCATCAAACATAGAACCTATCTCTCTATTGAAAATTCTTGTGAAAATTATGAATAACATTGTTGGGAAGGAAGTGATTTTTTTTAGTGATAACTAACTGCTCAGTAATTCATTTCTGGATGAATACCTTCAAAACTCTAGTACATGTGATCCGATTGGAATATTTCTGATGCTGAACCAAGACAATACTGTAAACTCTTATTTATTGCTGGAAAAATATTGACATCAACTCATATTTTCACCCTGGAAAATGTGTGTATAATACACAAAATTTTGGAATTCGTTTCTTCATATACATCTTGGTGAGACAGAAAAGAGTATAACAGAAAAACACCATCGATTACAAAAAGTATTTGTTTCCTAATTGTGTTATCTGCCGAAACATTTGTTCAATTGGCGGCATCTATTCCTGGAGTCATATCGCAGAGAATCTCTCAATTTATGATAATAATCATTCGGTTGTACCAGTTACATCACAAGATGTACTTTCAGTTACCACAAACTGTTGTTAGAGGAAAATACTAGCATATCATTCGAAAGGGTAAATTGACTTCTGACATTATTGTACTGCGGAGTGATAACAGATGACATACATATTTATCAACCATATATTACTGGAGTTTTTCCCATCACCAAACCGTTATTTCAAGAGGAAAATCTAGTTTCATCTTCCTCTTGAAGAAGATCACTTAGTGATCGAAACACGTGTCGAGGTGTTGAAATAACGGTTTGGTGTTGGGAAAAAAATTCCAATAATATTCATTACGAAACGAGAAATGAAAATTTCTATGTTTTTTACAACTTTTAATTGTAACTAACGTTACTGCAGTTTCGTCCTATATGGACATTCTCAAACTAATACAATACAAGAGTTTATTGTATTAGAGGCCTTATTTTGAAAAACTTCCTATTGTGGAAGAGAAGACTCATCGACTTGCTCGGTTATTGAAACCATGTAAGTCGAACCATTCGTCTATGGTTTTAACCGAACCATACATCTATCGGTATTAAGAAAAATTAATAATTTTGTGACAGTAGTAAGAATCAAATGGTGTAATTTTTTTTATAAAATCAAGCCACTTTCAGTCGATAAATCTTCATTATTTTGGTTATTTGATAATCAATGTTACATTGTTCCAGTACTTAGAAGGATTTGGATATCCGAAGTGTATGACAAACATTACCTTTAAACACGTAAAAAGTCATAACTTATCTATAATAGTGGTGAATTGAGGAGTTTTGTTATTAGATTACACCTAGATCTCAGAATGACCAGAACTGAATCTATATTTGATGACTCATTTAGAGAAATTGTATTCAATATTCTCATTCGACCTTTGGGTTACTTTTCTTATGTGAATGAAGTGTGAAAGTAGTGTTCTATGCGAATGGTCTGAGATAGATTATAGTTAGATGTCTATGGTCGATCGGTAGCCGGTCGGTTCAACGGTCCAACCAGTCAAATCGACCGCCATGTTAGCCGGTGGTTCAAGCCGCAGGCTGAACGATCGATTTTCACTTGCTATCGTCCAACCCGTTTTAGGAATCACACGTTTGAAGGTAAGACCAGCTTTGGCTCGTACAAGTTTCGACTTCTGAGGGTTGTCATTCATAGGGGTGGGACAGCTGGCTAATGAAAAACCATGTTTTAAACATATATTTTTCAATTTGTTATCAAAAACGGCTGTCAATGTTACGTTCTGAGAACAATGTCGAGTATTACTAGTTGTAAATTAACCCTTGGGCATTAAAAATGAATCACCTGATATATGCAAAAGGAACCCATTTCCAGGCTAGCAAGTGAACATACGTTCCTATACTTATTGTTTAAAATGAAAACTGTTAAAGAAATATCATATGCAGGAGTAGCATATTACTAATTAGATACGTCTAGGGATATTCTAGACGTATTTGATTCAATAATTTTTTGGATCACTTATACTTTTCTAGTCGCTCTTACAACTTCACTTCGGTAATAATGCCACGAAACCGGTAATATCATTTATTTAGTGAGGACGAAGGTTGCAACCCTGTTTTTCCTATAACTACATGATTTCAGAAATAAACTGATGTTGTGTATCATACACTTCTGATGTCACGTATCCTCGAAAAATATCTAGAGGTGTCATATCAGGTGGTTTAGTGGGCCATTCTGAGGGACCATGTCTGCCTATATACCAGTTTGGATAATTGACCAGAATGAGTGGAGTTATGTTTTAGTAAGATGATATATCTTTTCGTTATGAAAGGCTGTTTCGAAAGTGACTAAATGATAATCATCCAAACCGGTGGATAGGCAGAGGTGGTACCACACACTGACCTGTTAGATCACACACCTTATTACGCCGATTACCAAAAATTTAATAGTAGACTCGAAGTACGTATCGAACGAATCATTACAAAATCCTCTTTCCATTTGAAAAAGAAAAATAGGTGGTGCTCTCGTGGCGACAATGACGTTATTGTCTATCTTATCATGAGTATAAAAATGTCACCTTCTTAAGTAAATCATGTTCCACAATTATTTTTCTCGTTCATAAGTTTAGAGAAAGAACTTTTTACTTCCTGTTACAATAAAACGAAGAACATTCTGACCTTGCGCATCCACCATTTCTTCTAAACTAATTCTTTCACAAATTAGTAAAATGGAAATTACAGAATTCGCAAGTTTAATAAGTGTACTTTTGACAACTCGTATGCCAGTATCATAACTAGTACGGGAGAGTATAGGTAATACTCAGTTCAAGTAAGCAAAATACTGTACTTTGTAACAAAACCATTCTCCTTTCTTTGCACCTCGTTCGTGTTTACCGGAATTATTTTTTGTTGTATAATTACTGCCATTGTGTCATTGTTGTTTCGCATTCAATATTTTATTTTGTGCTATCACTAATAAGCAATTTGCATTTAATCCGTGTGGTATTCTTGACTGCATACCCAAAAGGCCAGTGTTGGCGAAGAAAATACATTTGACGTGGATCTCGATCATTCCACTGGAAGGGCTATGAAACCACTATCTACCCTTTCTACTGTTTATTTTATGCGAAATAAAACTCAACTTTACAGTGGGAAACAAGTCGTTGCCATAACACTTTTCTAATTATTACATTTCGTAACAGGTAAAGTTATTTTGAATGTCTTTGGAAGTAATCCAGAAAAATAAGATAACTTATATTTCCTATGGTGTGCCTGCTTTTATATAGGTAGGTTTGAATTAGACAGTACAGGGGAATGTAACTTTATTTCCAAAATGTATTTCTGGATATTAACAACTTATATAGCTTTAGTTCTGTCAAACTCTTGTATTCTCGTTGGTATCATATCTGATAAACACTTTTGATCACTCAAATAAATTGGCTAAGTCGACCGGATCCACAGCTGTTTCATTTGCCCCTTCAACCCCGAAAAACCCTGAGATAACGAGATCCATTGCATCTTATACAAATTTTCTATTACTTTTCTGATTTTGGTCAAACTGGCAGGACATTTAGAAATCGAATCCAGGAACATCATACGAGCTATGTAAATAAGAAAACAAAATCAACATATTCAAATCATCATCTAGAAGAAAATCATATCTTCAATGGAGAGTTCAAAATTTTGCACATAGAAAATAAAGGTTTGAAATTGAATCATTTGGAAGATTCTAATGAATGACCAACTAGGTTTGAATAGATCACCATTATTAAACTTGTTTTCTTGAAAACCGAGAAAGAATTATTATTGATGTAGATGTGAGGTAATATGCTTCAGGTGATCATAATTGAACAGGTACGTTAGATAGAGGTTTAGGTAATTTTTTGGAGGTAGTCTCAATTATGGTTACCTGTAGTATATAAATATTAATGTAAGAACAACTTGAGATATAAATCACTTGAAAAAGCTAATGTCTTAGCGAAACATCGTGAGGTGTAGTTTTTGAGAAAAAAAATTGATAATATTCATTGAACACCTCAATGAACGAAATAGTGAATCAAAAGATGGGAATTCTAGTTTTTGTTGAAATCAGGAAGGTCCTGAAAGGAGAGA